GAGGACCCTGAAGAAAACATTTTCTGCTGAGCAGAAGCAATTTAATAGTTTCCTCCTTTCATTGCAAGGCTTTCAGTTTCTTCTTGTCTGATTAATCCCCAGTATAAATTTCAATTAATTGAGCAGGTCTGCAAAATATATGAATAAAACACCACAATATTAAGATGTTATATATTTTGTAATATCTTTTTAGAGTTGGCAAATAGTTTTGTGTTGAATTATCTATACAGGACTTTATATTATTTAAAGAGAGAAAATGAGTGGCCATATTTTTATTCCATGGTATAATAAGACAAAGAATATCCATTGTACCTGTGTTGCCTATATGCATTCCAATAGTGTTGAAATATAGATTTCATTTTTTCCTTATTAAAAACATGAAGTTAAAAAATACATCTAAAAGAAGGAGGCTGTGCATTTGTCTGACTACTGCAAAAATAGCCTTATTTTATAATTACTACATTCTAAAAATGGAAAAAGTCAGTTATGGGTTTAAAATTGTTTCAAGAAAGCATCTATTGGGTCCTGAAGAAGGAGGGGATATCAAATGCAACAATTTGATTAAGACTATTGAGAATCTACATGTATCATACAGATGGCAGAGTCTACTGTCCCTCTGAAAAGAAGCCCACCACAAGCAAGGTGGACGTAATTTCAAAATTAATTTAACTGGGATTTGTCAGGTACGCAAGTGTCTTAATACTCTTGAAACTATTGTGGCAATTGTGATCCCGGGAACACAGTTTCTCTCGATGCTCATGTGTAGGGAGGGGCATTCATTCACTTTATGCTCTTTTAAATGCCTATTGTTAATGCCAAAAAAACCCACAAAAAATGAATTATGTGTAGATGTGTAGAGAATGAAAAGTAAGAAATGTGCAGAATAGTTGAGGAAGGATGAGGGCAAAGAGCAAAACCAAAAAGAAAAGTGAGCTTGGGAGCAGTATTTCCAAGGTTAGAGGCTCTGATCCATGTTTGCAGTCAGGATTATGCAAATACTGTATTATGAAGCAGAATAAACCAAAAAATATGGCCTCCCCATTAGAGTGGCAGATTCTGTGTCACCCACGTTCTTCTAGGAGAGACTGAATGACCAGGTATTTGTATATTAGACTAGGAAAGCATTATATGAAAATCTAGCAGCTTATAAAAAATCATTTGGAAATAAAGAGAAGTTTCACATACATTACTATTTAGTGTGCATCAAGATCTACTTAAATTGTAGCGTCCATACAATACTATATTTTTCAGAGACAATGACTTGCTGCTGTTTCAGATTAGTATTAACCAAATTATGGCCGTTTTGACATTTCAGAAAAGTCTGAAGAATTCCAATGGAAATACAATGTCTTTTTGAATTCTGTTTTACCCTGTGTAATAAAGATATTTTGTTATTTAATATTGTAGGTATCTACTATAAAAGAGTGCATATTTTGCTGATTCATCTTCCTATGTCATAGCGTTTCTTTTTTTTTTATTGTTGCAATTATTTCTTCAGTCTATTTTGCTTCACACTGATTATGTATTTCTTCAAAAAATGAAAAAAACACAGACTACAGCCAAGAATAACTAAATTAGTTCAGAAATTGATGACTAGAAATGTATAATTCTTGGTACAGCTACTTTTGAAAACAGATTGTTACCTTCTTTAAAATTACGTACAAACCAAGAATTCTATGCATAGAAATCTAACCAATATAAATGAACATATCTTGACACAAAGACTTGTATGCACATTTTTATAGCAATAATATTTTTAATAGTCAAAGGCAGAAACAACCCAAATGTCTATCAACTAGTGAGTAGATAAATAAAATGTGGTATATCCATACAATGATTTTTATGCTGTGATAAAAAGGAATGAAATACTGACACATTCCATAACATGGAGAACCTCAAAAACATTATGGCAAATGCAAAAGACTACATTGTTAGAAGGCAGAATGATGGTTGCTAGGGGCCGAAGGGAAGGGAAAATGGGAAATTTGTGTTTAGTGGGCATAGTTTCAGTTGGGAGACATGAAAATGTTCTGTAGATAGAGGGGGAAAGTAACCATTATAAAAGTAAGCCTAGAACATTCTTATAACAAAGGCCTACTCTGCAGGAAAAAGACATTACCATGCCCTTATCCTATATAGAGGAAGGACAGTTTCTACAATTCTAGCTCCCTCTCTAGCCTTTCTGTCCCACCTACTGGGATGAAGGGAGAACCTAAGAAACTTAGTAAAAGTCACAGCCCAGGGACACAGGCCAACTAAAAAAATGAAATTTAATCATAAGATTCTAGAATGAAAAACACAGACTCTCTTGAAGAAGAGTCCTTAGGAAGTGTGACAGTTAATATTGAGTGTCAACTTTATTGGATTGAAGGATGCAAAGTATTGTTCCTGGGTGTATCTGTGAGGGCACAGCCAAAGGAGATTAACATTGGAATCAGTGGACTGGGAGAGGTAGACCCACCCTCAATCTGGGTGGGCAGAATCTAATCAACTGCCTGTCGCAGCTAGAATAAAAGCAGACAGAAGAACGTGGAATGACCAGACTTCCCGAGCCTTCTGGCCTCCATCTTTCTCCCATGCTGGATGCTTCCTGCCCTCAAACATCACAAGTTCTTCAGGTTTTGGATTCTTGGACCTACACTAGTGGTTTACCAGGGACTCTTGGGCCTTTGGCCACAGACTAAATGCTGCACGTTGGCTTCCCTACTTTTGAGGTTTTGAGGCTCGAACTGGTTGGCTCCTTGCTACTCAGCTTGCAGATGGCCTGTTGTGGGATTTCACCTTGTGATTGTCTGACTAATTTAAAGATTTAAATCTAAGACCCAAAACCATAAAAATTCTAGAAGATAACATTGGAAATACCCTTTCAGATATTGGCTTTGGCAAACACTTCATGACCAAGAATCTAAAAACAAATGCAGCAAAAACAAAGGTAAGAATATGGGACTTAATTAAACTAAAAAGCTTCTGCATAGCAAAAGAAATAATCAGCAGAGTCAACAGACAACCCACAGAGTGGGAGAAAATCTTCACAAACTCTGCATCTGACTAAGGACTAATAATATCCACAGTCTTCAAGGAACTCAAATCAGCAAGAAAAAAATAATCCCATCAAAAAGTGGGCTAAGGACATGAATGAACAATTCTCAAAATAAGATATTCAAATGGCCAATAAACATATGAATAAAATGCTCAACATCACTAATGATCAGGGAAATGCAAATCAAAACCTCAATACAACACCACCTTACTCCCACAAGAATGGTCATAAGCAAAAAAATAAAAAAATAATAGATGTTGGCATAGATGTGGTGATCAGGGAACACTTTTACACTGCTGGTGGGAATGTAAACTAGTACAACCACTATGGAAACAGTGTGGAGATTCTTTTTTTTTTTTTTTTTTTTTTTTTGAGACGGAGTTTCGCTCTTGTTACCCAGGCTAGAGTGCAATGGCGCGATCTTGGCTCACCGCAACCTCCGTCTCCTGGGTTCAGGCAATTCTCCTGCCTCAGCCTCCTGAGTAGCTGGGATTACAGGCACGCACTACCGTGCCCAGCTAATTTTTTTTTGTATTTTTAGTAGAGACGGGGTTTCACCATGTTGACCAGGATGGTCTCGATCTATTGACCTCGTGATCCACCCGCCTCGGCCTCCCAAAGTCAGTGTGGAGATTCTTAAAGAACTAAAAGTAGATCTACCGTTTGATCCAACAATCCCACTCCTGGGTTATTATGTGAAAAAGCACCTGCATACACATGTTCATAGCAGTACAATTTACGCAAAAATCTGGAACGAACCCCAATGCTCATCAACTAGTGGATAAAGAAATGTGGTATGTATACAGACCACGGAATAGTAGTCATAAAAGGTAATGAAATAATGGCATTTGTAGCAACCTGGATGGATATGGAGGTTACTTCACCATTATTCTAAGTGAAGTAACTCAGGAACGTTAAACCAAACATCCTATGTTCTCACGTATAAGTGGGAGCTAAGCTATGAGAATGCAAAGGCATAAGAATGATACAGTGGACTTTGGGGACTTGGGAGAAAAGGTGGGAGCAGGGTGAGAGATAAAAGACTACATATTGGTTGGGAGGCTGAGGCGGGTGGACTGCCTGAGCTCAGTTGTTCAAGACCAGCCTGGGCAACATGGTGAAACCCTGACTCTACTACAAATACAAAAAATTAGCCAGGCATGGTGGCACACCTGTAGTCCCAGCTACTCGGGAGGCTGAGGCATTAGAATTGCTTGAACCCGAGAGACAGAGGTTGAAGTGAGCCGAGATCGTGCCACTTCACTCCAGACTGGGAGACAGACCGAGACTCTGTCTCAAAAAAATAAATAAATAAAAAGACTACATATTGGGTATCGTGTACAGTGCACAGCTTAGGTGATTGGTGCACCAAAATCTCAGAAATCACCACTCAAGAACTTATCCATGTAACCAAACACCACCTGTTCCCCCAAAACCTATTGAAATTAAAAAATAATAATGCTGTTATCATCCATTATTTGAAAAACACAAATTTAGGGGGATGGTCAGAGGAAAAAACTATTAACCTAGGAGTTCTGAAACCTAGGGTCTATTTCCAGCTTTGGTGACTCTAAAACGCTACATTCATTAGAGGAGATTTGACTAAAATTCCTTCAACCTTTAACACTGAATAACCTTCTTGAGGGGGGTCTTTTTTCAAGTGCTGAAGCAGTAGAAACATTACGTAATTACAACTACACTACATCTAGGAAGTGTACTCATTATTACAATTCATTTTAATCTTCCATTTTAAAAAACCTTACTCTATAATTTGAAGATTATCTAAAACTTTAATTTTACATTGCCTCTCTTGGAGAAAAGATGCTCTTCATCACAGCTACAAGCGGGAAATTTCACAATCAACACAGCGGCCCTTCGCCAGTCTCTAATAACATTAGTGACGCGTGGATTTCTTGGTCGTCTCCTTAGAAACCGCAGCTTGACGGGACCTTTGCAGGCACCGGGATGGGTGCCGGGAAGGGTAGGTGTTCTGTGGTTGACGCGTGCGCCTGCGCGGGTTTATGTCGCACTCCTAGTTAGAGAAGCCCGGATGGAGGACGCAGAGGCACGCTGTTGCCATAGCAGTTTGGTCCTGGCTGTCGCGGAGGCAGATGCGGGTCTCCGTGGCCTCAATGTGAAGAGCTTAGAAAGACGATGAGAGAACTCCCCCGGCCATCTCTGTGACCCCAGCCGCTGCATTTTACACAGGCAGGAGGAATATAGGGGGAGAGAGGGGAAGGACGATGCGATATTATTAATGATGGGAAAGAGAGTAAAGGTATAAACGTCTAGTATAGCTGGGAGGGAAGGCAGGTAGTGACGGAAGAAGCTTTCTGGTGGCACCTAGTCCTCTAGAGTTCGGGGTCCACGGAATCTGGCCCTGGTGGGGAAGTCTGACAACACCTTGCTTTACTATGTATGAAGGAAACTCGTCTGAGGGTAGCTTAGACTAAGTTTTTGTCATATTCTTTCCCCTCTCAAAGTTCTTGAATGGGGAAAGTAATAATTTTGTCCCTGGGAGAAAAAGTCACTCCTGAAATTGTAGCCTCCATGAGGAGACAATGGTATTTATTTCGTTGGGTTCTGGAATGCAGATTAAAATTATCACCTAAAGTTCATAAAGTATCTATCATCACGCTTTGTGACAGGTTATGATTTTTAAAAAATTTACTTATAGGATCACAGTCTTGGCAGGATACACAGGAATAATGGGCCGGATGGTTTCATGATGTTGTGGATTAGTTTTTGCTTAAGTGTTTATTTTATATTCAAGGGCATTCTCTTTGACATGCTTTCAGTTCTTAGATTTTAAACAAGCATATGTTTAAACCGCTGTAAGATGGGAATCAATTATTTAGATTAAACTATTTTTGAACATTCTGAATTGTAGAAGAAAGTTATCAAAATTATGTATACATATGTACCTGGCTTAAGAGTCCCACTGAAAGATCTGCAGTCCACCTATCCACATGGGATTTACCCAGGGAGGAATTGATTTCCATTAAGTGGTAAATATAGCCACTTACCTATATTTTTACTGATGATAAATGTTGAAATTTAAATGTGTGAAACTCACAATCATAAAGTAGGAAGTGTTAAGTGATTTTGTTTGTGTAAGATGTATTTTTGTTCTGGCTTGTTGACTGTGTACCATATGGACAGTACCCTGGAGATGAAGATTAAAAGAATTGAAGGAGTTGAATATCCTGTGACGCATTTGAAAAAGGCTTAAGGGATTTGATAACCAGAGTTTGTAATTTATGTCCTTTGTTTGCTTGAGAACCAGTCATGAGGGTTTTTTTATTTTTAAGTTATAGGGAAAGAATTTCACTTCAGATTTAATGTGACTTGATTTACTTCTCAGAGTTACCTTAACTATGGTGTGTTTTCCCTTTGAATTATGGCATAATCGTTTGACGTAAAGACCCCTAATCTATTACATTTTAATTATTGTGTTTTTAATTTATTATACAGGTATTATGCTTTCATTTTAAATTTTAGTTTTCATGTGGGTGGAATTCTCTGTAAACAATAAAATTTATCTACTAAAGTCTTCAGGCAGCCATTCATTTATGAGTTTGGAACTAGGTTTATCATAAAATAAGGGAAAGGACTGAAGAGTTCCAAAGAAATATTCTTATAATATTTATGTAACTTAAAGAAAGGAAAACTGATCATTCCAAGGCATTGTGACTACGAAAAGTACTATTTTTACTGTAAATATTTTGCATTACAGTGAGATTTAGTTTATTCTGCATCATTCATGGTGCACTTGGTTTTAACTGGCCAGTGGGTAGAAATAATAGCTTAATTTAGCTTGTCTTGCGGTTAGGAAATGAAACTCACTCTAAAGTGTTGATTTAGTTTATCAAGATAACTTCAAAATTTGCCCTCAACCTGACTTAGAAATTATTGAAGGACTTGTTTTTGAGTGCTTTAGCAAATCTATTTTGTATTTTTAGTTTTAAATAAATATCTAGAAGAAATTATAGTCCAATGAATATTTGAGAAAAAAAATTATCCAGTTGAACAATTAACAGTTATTATTCAATAATAAGTTGAGTAATTAACAGTTATTCAGTAATAACTTAGTCTGGCCAAAGGTTTGGGGAGAATTAAGTGAAGCCAATGGCTAAAACAGTTTGTGGATTATTTATTATTTCAGCATACCTAAAGTGTACCTAAAATTAACTTTATCTTTGAGAGGGAAAAAGAACCAACATCAATAACTATCTAGAGAAAAGATGGCATTTTAATGAAACAGACTTCAGAACTTTTTAAAAATTGTACTTTAGGTTCTGGGGTACATGTGCAGATCATGCAGGATTGTTGCATAGGTACATACATGGCACAGTGGTTTGCTGCCTCCATCCCCCCATCACCTATATCTGGCTTTTCTCCCCATGTTATCTCTCCCCAACCTCTCCACCCACCACCATCCGTCCCCTAGTCCCCCAACAGACCCCAGTGCATGATGCTCCCCTCCCTGTGTCCATGTGTTCTCATTGTTCAACACGCACCTGTGAGTGGGAAAATGCAGTGTAATTTTCTGTTCTTGTGTCAATTTGCTGAGAATTATGATTTCCAGATTTATCCATGTCCCTATAAAGGACATGAACTCATCATTTTTTATGGCTCCATAGTATTCCATAATGTATATGTGCCACATTTTCCTTGTCCAGTCTATCATTCACAGGCATTTGGGTTGGTTCCAGGTCTTTGCTATTGTAAACAGTGGCACAGTGAACCTACATATGCATATGTCTTTACAGTAGAACGATTCATAATCCTTTGGGTATATACCTAGTAATGGGATTGCTGGGTCAAATGGAATTTCTATTTCTACATCCTTGAGGTATCACCACACTGTCTTCCACAATGGTTGAACTGATTTACAGTCACACCAACAGTGTAAAAATAGAACTTTGTTTTTTTTAAGTCTTGAATTTAATCATTCAGACACTGATCATTTGTTTTAGATTAAGCTTTATCATACTACTATGCATTTGCTTTTAAATTCTCTTGCTCTTCGTGAGTTGACAGTTGCTAATTTGCATCTTATAGAAAAAAAGACTCTTAGAGTTAAAAAGAATCTTAAAGGTCATGTAGCTCAATTGCTTTCCTAAAGCTTGTGCCCTTTAAAATGTTCCTTCCACAGTCCTCTTTGGGGCTATGTATAAACATTTATATTGACAGGAATTGCAGTACTTCTTTGGAAGCTAATTTCACTCAGGACAGGGTTGAAAATGTAAGTTCTGTCTTACCTTGTGCCAAAGTTTGCCCCTGAGTTTCCAGCCCTTGGTACTAGTTTTACTCCTTGAGATTATGCAAGTCCATTTCTCCTTCAAAATATTGTAAAGCATCCCAGCACTATGGGAGGCCGAGGTGGGTGGATCATGAGGTCAAGAGATCGAGACCATCCTGGTCAGCATGGTGAAACCCCGTCTCTACTAAAAATACAAAAAATTAGCTGGGCACGGTGGCACGTGCCTGTAATCCCAGCTATTCAGGAGGCTGAGGCAGGAGAATTGCCTGACCCCAGGAGGCGGAGGTTGCGGTGAGCCAAGATCGCGCCATTGCACTCCAGCCTAGGCAACAAGAGCGAAACTCTGTCTCAAAAAATATATATATATTTATATATATTTTGTATAGCAGTTCTTAATTTTCTCTTCTTTAGGTTAACATTCCCAGAGTTTTCAATTATTCCTCAGTATCTGACTTTAAGGATTTTACTCTTCCTTTTCCTTCTCTTTTAGGTTCCTTTCTCCTGGTTTGCTAGCCTCTGAATGTGTTCTAGTTTGGTTTTTGTTTTCTAAACTCTAGTACAAAAATCTGGACACAATACTTCATGTATTATCTATCTGTCTCAACCTCAGAGCTCATTTACATTTTTAGTATCCTCATCATTCTTTTAACTCATTCTTTTAAAATCATTTTAAAACTCAGAGTTTAGTGAACTCTACTGTTCACTAACACCTGTTAAAATATTTTACACATAGTATGAAAAGCCTCATCTCGTACTTGTGCAGCTAGTTGAAAGATACTGTCCCACATGGCTGCACTATCATTTGATGGTGAACTATGGGAAGAAAATATGTAAATCTCTCTTTAGTAAAATTCTATCAGGTTAGATAGTCTGGGCAAAGATTTGGGGAGAGTAAAGTGAAACTAATGGCTAAAACAAAGTTTGTGGATTATTTATTCAGTTATAATATTTCTCATTTTATACCTTTAAAAACGCCTGTGTCTCATGTGTTCTTGATATCTGGACTTTCTACTTCCAAAAATAATATTAGGCAAATTAGTCTTGATGCAGGAGCAAGGTAAGTAAAGTATAGAAACATGGTCTCAAGTATTTGGGCTCTTGTAGATCTGATTTTTGCACTTCTTTTGAGATTGGACCTAAAATTCTATGAAAATTTAGAAAGCATTGTTCTTTTTTAAGTCCGTAGTTGAAAGTATGCAAATTATTGCTGTGTCTTTCTACCTTTGTTGATTTCATGGCAGTTACATCTACATTAATACTTTTCCCCAACCTTTTTCTCTTTGGAAAGATAATATGACCTCAAACTGACCCTCATACTCTTTCCAGACCCTTCTTCAAAACAAACTATGTTCAGGCCATGCTGTACAGTCCCATGTGCTTCCATGTTTGTTTGTTCTCTCTCATGCTGTTCTCTTTGCTTAGAATAATTGATGAACTTTCATACTGGTATTCAAACTCCATACCAGCTTCCTTTGATAGTTTCAATTTTGTATTGAGTTACTTGTTTTTTTATTCTTCCTTACATATCCTTTATTCCAATTGTCTACATTTTTATTTATGCTTTTTATTTAGCTTTGTCTTCTTTAGCATACTGCAAGCACCTTAAGGTGCTTATAAATCATTATGAATATATATAGGAAAACAGTAGGTGTTCAACAAATGTTCATCAAAATTTCTTTGATGGGCTAGGTGCTGTGGCTTATACCTATAATCCCAGCACTTTGGGAGGCCGAGGAGGGTGGGTTACTTGAGGTCAGGAGTTCAAGACCAGCCGGCCAACGGGATGAAACCTCATCTCTACTAAAAATACAAAAATTTGCTGGGCATGGTGGCACCCTCCTGTAATCCCAGCTACTCAGGAGGCTGAGGCAGGAGAATCACTTGAATCCGGGAGGCAGAGGTTGCAGTGAGCTGAGGTCATGTCACTGCACTACAGCCTGGGCAACAGTGAGCAGAGCGAGAGAGACTCTGTCTCAAAAAAAAAAAAAAAAAAATACACACACACACACACACACACACATGCGGAAGGCTCACACAGATATACAGACACATTACAGGTAAAGATTTATATGTTCCATTTGTTTAAAAAGTTATATACAGAAAAAAATAGAAGGCCTAGGAACTGATTTTAATTAAAAGATATTTTTAGCTTAATTGTTTCAAAAATGCCTTAATTCATATACCACTTTAACACACACACACACACACACACACACACACACACACACACACACTTTGTCACCTGGAACAGAAAAACAAGCATTTTTACCTTTCATCTGACAACTCTATTTACTGTCACTCACTTCTAGATTGTATTAGGTATCATCATAGTTGTTTTTTAATGAACAAAATATTTAGAGTTGACAAAAGTTTGACTCCTGTGGAAATCAGCATTCATCATATTTGAGAATCAGTTGTTATTAAAAAGGTCTCATATCACAAATTATAATTATGCCATATAAATTACTAGAAGGATTGGGAAACTGAGGATGGGAACTGTTTTCATTTGAACATGAAAAAATGTTAGTGGGTAAGATTAAAAAACTAAGCTAAGATCTTCTCTGGCCTGGGCAAAGGTTTTAATGATTGGCAAAGAATATGGAAAAATCCTTTTCTAAGCATTAGTCTTTTATCTGCCTTTTTTTAGACTCCTTATATATTAGAGTTTGGGTAGTTAGGGGAAGGTGGGAGAGTTTTTAGGAATGTCGACCTATGGAAATGTCTTGCCATTGCAAATCTCTCTTTTATGATGTATTCAGGTGCATGTTCATTTTGAACATTCCATTTTGTGTTTCTGTGTGTTCATTAGCTTACCTACAGCATTAATCTCCATGCTCCATTCTTCTAGGGTGAACATAACATATGCCTTACCTTTTAAAATCTTATAGCATTTTCTTTCACAAACAGAAATGAATGAAAATGAAGATGCTGATTCAAAAGAAAGTGAAGAATACGAAGATGACTTTGAAAAGGACCTGGAGTGGTTAATTAATGAAAATGAAAAAAGTGATGCCAGCATAATAGAGGTATATATTGCCAACAGCATTCATAATAATTATATTACAAAATGCTTGGCAGTTCTTTAAGAGTTCCACATTATTATCTCATCGAAACATCACAAAATTTCTTTGATTTACATTGGGCAAATTATTATTATCCTCATCTTAAAGATAAGAAAATTGAGGCATAGATTGCTTAAATGTTGTATCGTAAGGCATAGGTCAGGTTAGTGAGAGAACAGTTATTACTTTAGCATTTAATAAAACTAAAATGACCATTCTAATGTAATTTAAGTAATAGAAATAAATAAATGGCAAAATCATGATTTATTGCATTGAAAGTAAAAAAAATACAGTTAATCCCTACATTCTATGAAATTGGATCAAATCATAGGGTTATGCTATTAAAATAAATGAAAAATAAAGCAAATCCTCTAAACACATGACCTTTTAGCTAATATTTGAAACTTTAAGACTGAATTAGCTATTCTTGGCAATGAATATAGAGAAAAAGGTAAAGGGTCAAAGTCTGAGTCACAGGAATAGTTATAGGAAAAAGTGGATCCATTAAGCATGGTTATATACTATTTATCAGAGACGTAGAAGGGAAATTCCAGAAAATTAACCAGTTCTTACACCACGGTAGATTCTTTCTGTCTCTCTTTACATATGTATACTGTGTATGTGTATTTCTATATAATGTATATATGTATATATGCATATGTGTGTGTACACAAGTTAGTATCAATAAGTAGGTCAGTAATAAGGAAAAGGACTAACACTGGGATATAAATAGGTGACTTCCACGGGATAATAATGATCAGAATTGTTAGAGCAGAAGCCAGTTTTAAAGGTGTTAAGAAAAAGACTAAGGAAATGCAGGTTTTGTATTACAGATTTCTTAGTTCCATTTTCTTATATAATGGAAAAGACAAATGGGTTATACAATATTTGAAGATGGAAACAGAGTCAAAAGTGAAGATTTTTCTAAGATGGCTTTTACATGAGAGTTTTATGCATCCTAATGGAAAAATAAGCGGAATGAGTAGAGGCGGATACCCAGAGGGGTAAGGTTGAACCAATTTCTCCAGACTGGAAGGGTGTGAGTTCCAAAGCACAGGGTGATAGAATTAGAGAGTAATAAGGATGATTTATTGTTTCATTTTCTAATTCAGAAAATATTAATGATCACCTATCATGTATCAGAGGCTGTTCTAGGTGCTAGGGATATACAGAGCAGGGATAAAATAAAAGTGCTGTTATGAATCTTGTACATTCTAGTGGATGATTATGCTAACCTCTTCTTTTGAGGCTTTTGGGAAAAGGGGGTGACTGAGATAGAGACACATATGAAAGTCAGGGGAAGATTTATTTGTAAAAAGTGGGTTTTCAAAAGAAAAGAAATAAAAGCTAAAGGAGAGTTCAGAAACCGAGACTATAAGAATGAATCAGAGATCTGCCATCCTCGTGATACTGAAAAAATAAAAAAAGAATTAACCAGAGAATCAAATAAGGCTAAAATGAACAATTGTGATACAGAGATCTTAGTTAAATCATAGTTATTTGGCAGTCATTTTAATGAGCCAGGTTTATTTACTTATTAGACATCAATCAGACAAGATGACCTTCCCTATCACGCAGGATGACCTATGAGCAAGTGAAGGAGGAAAGTGATTTTAAGGGGTTGAAGAGAATAGCATGTAGTAGCTCCCATAGAACTGCTTTAGGATAGGTGGGAGAGAACTGTTGGACAAAGAGAGAGAGAGAGAAAAAAATATATATATGTATTTATAAAAGCTTTTAGTTAGATACAGCAGAAGTGGAGTAGAGTTTTGTGCTGCACTGATACTGATTTATGGTTCATGTGGAATTAATTTTTTTAAGGCCAGGTTATCTCAGAGTGGTCAGCATGGATTACCAAAATCTCTGAGCATAGTTGAAGAAGGCAAATCTGATCTAGAGATAAAAATTGAACTGGAATTTATATAAGCCCCGCAGGTTATAGTGACAATAATAATCTGAAAAGATTAAAAGAACCTCACGTGATTAGGACTTGACCAAATAATTCATCCTTGAAATGGTCTGGGGAGAAGGATGTTTGGTTGAAGACTGCAAATATTACAAGGAGGAAACATTTTTGAAAACTGTTTTTCTAAAATGTAAAGAGGAAAATTTTATAGGGGAAGGAATATTAATATTATTATTTGTGGTTATCTTTTGACACATTAGCATAAAAATGTTTAAAAATCAATGTAGTACTTAACTACATCAAATTCTAATTTAAAGTTGAATTTTTCCTGAATTGTTGTCAAATATATTTCCCTTGGATACTCATAAGTATGAATTAGAATGTTATGAGCAAATTACGAGGAAGAAGCATTAAATTTTCCCATTTATAAAATAAATTACATGAACAGGAAAATACCATTTTCTGTCTACTTATAAATGAATCTCAAATTTGACTGAAAAATATCTTGTTTTTAGATGGCTTGTGAGAAGGAAGAGAATATTAACCAAGACTTAAAAGAGAATGAAACAGTAATAGAACACACTGAACAGCTTTCTGATCCTGACAAATCTTTGCAGGATGAGATCTCACCAAGAAGAAATGACTTCATTTCTGTACCAAGTAGTCAACCTTCAGATCCCATATCAGATTCAGATAGTGAAAACTCTTTCCAGGAATCCAACATAGAAAGCCAGAAAGACTTGGAGGATGAAGAGGATGAGGAAGTGAGGAGATATATTATGGACAAAATTGTACAAGCTAACAAGCTTCTACAGAATCAAGAACCTGTGAATGATAAAAGGGAGAGGAAACTTAAGTTCAAGGACAAATTAGTTGATTTGGAAGTTCCTCCACTAGAAGACACTAACACTTACAAAAATTATGTTGAAAATGAAGGGAATATGTTTGGAAAACTGTCACAGTTATGTATTTCCACTGATTTTGGACAAGAAAATGTGCTCCTGTCACTTACTAATGGAAGCTGTGAAGAAAACAAGGATAGGACAATGCTGGTAGAGAGAGATGGAAAATTTGAACTTGTGAATTTACAAGACATTGAGAGTCAGGGATTTTTGCCTCCTATTAATAATGCGAATAGTACAGAAAATGATCCTCAACAGTTGTTACCAAGATCGTCCAATTCCTCTGTCAGTGGCATCAAGAAAGAAGATTCTGCAGCAGAGATTCTTGCTGTTACTCACTCATCAATAGGAGAGCCACTGGCTGATATCCCTCAGCCACCGCTCAACCACAAGACTTGTCCAAGCTCTGCTGCCAACTCAGATCGAAGTAAAGGGAATGGGAAATCTAATCACAGGACACAGTCTGCACATATCTCACCAGTGACCTCAACATACTGTCTTTCCCCTCGACAGAAAGAACTACAAAAACAACTAGAACAAAAGAGAGAAAAGCTCAAAAGAGAGGTGAGAACCTAAGTGGACATTGTGTTAAGAGTAGAGGATATTTTCCTGCTTTGTAATGCAATGGGAATTGAAACAGTTGTTCAAACTATTGGAGATTTTTTTGCTTGCTTTATATATCTATTGTTAGATTAAGTGTTGAAAATGTATACTTATAGAATGAACACTGTGATTACTTTGGTCCTTGTAAGGATCACAAAGAATAGTAGACTGATCTGTGTTAGTGGAGATCTCAGTGATGACTTCATCTGATCCTTTTATTTTAAAGGTGAGACTCAGAGATGTTAAGTGACTGTTGAAAGTAATCTTGATATAGTTGAAAATAAAATGTCAGATGGAAAAATGAAGGCACCAAGTGTAGAGGTTTAAGAGACAGCAGGAAGACTTAGACTATAATTATTTTACTTGCATGTGTTTCATATTCTCTTCTATGCCTACAATTCCTTTATTTCCAGCAGTTCAGTTTTAATTAAGAATATAGCCTAATATTGTTAATGAAATGTCTCCAAAATGCCATATGAAATTCTAAATTAAGTGTTTTTGTTTTTCATTTTTGTTCATATGTGAAACTCTATGTATCTTATAATTGAAAATTCCAGGACTTAAACTGTATTTCCAACTATTTTGAACAAGAAAATATGCTCCTGTCACTTACTCATGGAAGCTGTAAAGACAACAAGGATAGGACAATACTGGTAGAGAGAGATGGAAAATTTGAATTTCTGAATTTTCAAGACATTGAGAGTCAGGGGTTTTTGCCTTCCATTAATAATGCAATGGTACAGAAATGACCCTCTTATATCAGTGTTCCAATTCTTTGTTTTACTGGAAACCTAATGGTATTAAGCTGAGCCATATAAAATGTCTAATTCTAAATACAGTGTTCAGCAGATGACACATGAGAAGTGACCTCTTACAGATGATTTTGCAGATAAGAAAACCTTAGAAATTTTAAATAACTTTACCAAGGTATATATGTACTTGTTAGTAGCAAACTGAAACAAAAATACCCAGTTCTCTGGCACCCTTGAGAAATGGTGTGCTATCTACTTTATTATTTATGTATTTGTTTGTTTATTTATTTATTTTGAGAGAGTCCCACTCTTGTTGCCCAGGCTGGAGTGCAATGGTGCAGTCTTGGCTCCCTGCAACCTCAGCCTCCTGGGTTCAAGCGATTCTCCTGCCTCAGCCTCCTGAGTAGCTGGGATTACAGGCACCTACCACCACGCCCTACTAATTTTTTGTATTTTTAGTAGAGACAGAGTTTCACTGCACTGGCCAGGCTGATCTCAAACTTCTGACCTTAGGCGATCCACCTGCTTCAGCCTCCTAAAGTGCTGGGATTACAGGTGTGAGCCACCATGTCTGGCCATGTTATCTACTTTATATGGGAAATTATCAAGAAAATTTCTGGCATTTAAATCAGGAATTGGCATTAGCAAAAATAAAAAAAAGTAAAAAATGACTTCATACGAACATGTAACCTCTAGCACATTTAGACAAGAACTTAAAAGGGTACATGCTTATAGAGCTTCGCTCACTTGGTCACTAATAGCTCTAATAGTGAAACTAAGTTTACTTGATTCAGGTATAAAACAACACTTAAAAGTATAAGAATTTCGTGACAATACAAAATAATTTTTTGGGCACGACATCTATATGTTTGCTGTATACAAACACATATGGGTACGTGCATGCGTATATTTTTACAAAAGTCATACAGGTGATTTTATGTAGTTGTCACTGCCTTTTTACTAATGAAATGATGTTAGTCTTTAACTGGTGTAAGGGATGGATAATTCTGTTTTCATTTTGATTCTATTTTCTGAATGACACACACTTTTGTGAGGTCCATATCCTGTAACTAACTTGGTTCAAGGCATGGTCTTCAAATACTAAGGCTTCTAACATGTTTTAGTTGGTTTCCTGGGAAGGCTTTGCTTTTTTATGCCTGTATTTGCTTGGTTGGGCTGAAATACTCTGTGTTTCCAATGTAAGTGCATCCTTTCAGTGTTCTCTTTGGCAACTCTGTTTTCAGTGCTTTGGCTGATGGCTTCTGTGTAATACACCTAAATGTTCCCTTGGAAAGATAATCATCTTTTATCATACTGTATTCATGCAAGGCATCTAAAGTCCTTTGTGTGAAAAGGAAATGTATAAATAATGTAAAATTTAATCTTTAATAAATTCATTTATATTTTATATAATATAGATACTTTAGGGCTCAGAAAATAGTATATAGATATTCTCAAATACATTTTATGCTGTTTGATAGAATTTTTCCATTCCTCCCTTCCTGCTGATCAGTAATTCTAATCCTTCTGAATTAGAAAGTCTTGCTATATTGTCAAAATGTAAGGAAAACACTTAGAATTACATTATTTGAAGAAAATTTAACCGTAAACTTGTATAAATCAGCTGATTTAAATGATAAAATTTTAGTATTTAAAAAGATTTATGATCTCATTAGTGCAACTCCATTTTGTAGGTGAGAATACTGAGACAGAAGTTAAGTGCCTTGCCCAAATTGGCATAGTATTATCACGGAAGGATTGTTAGTCAGATCTGACTTCCAAATTGGTGCTATTTCCACTATGCCACGTTGTTTTGCTCCCAGTAACTATAAATATTTTGTGATTCTGTATATTTTATTTTGGCATCTCCCTTCAAGTTTAACTCTCTTTTATAACATTAGTCAAATAATTCAGATAAAAAAGCATTATTTTCCTTTTATTTTTTCTGAGACAGGGTCTTGCTTTGTTACCCAGGCTGGAGAGCAGTGGCACAATCATAGGTCTCTGTAACCATGAACTCCTGGGCTCAAATGATACTCCCACCACAGCTTCATGAGTAGCTAGGACTAAGGGCTTGGGCCACCATGTCTGGCTAATTTTTTTTTTTAACTTTATTTTGTAGAGTCAGAGCCTTGCTATGTTGCCCAGGCTGGTCTTGAACTCTTGGCTTCAATTGATCCCCCTGCCTCAGTTTCCCAGAGTGTTGGGATTATGGGTGTGAGCCACTTGCCTGGCCCATTGTGTTCTTCATAGTTAACCAAGTGCCTAAATATTTTTCTGGTGGCAAAAATGTTTCTTTTTGAATATGAACTACTTGAAAAATATTTTTTAACATTTTAACAAAAAATTTCAAATATTTAAAAAGGTGCAATTAACTCCTGTATCCTCATTTCTCAGATGCAAAAGCCACTGAGATTTTGGCATATTTGTTTCATCTCTTCTTCTTCTTTGACTGTCTAGCAAGACCCTAGACAGCATGTACTGTCTCATTTACATACTTTGATACACAGCTCTAAATGCTTATGGAGTTTTCTTTCATAATCACTATGCCATTTATTACAATTAACAAACAATGTAAAAATGTATAAGACATTTATAGTGCTTCTGGAGTGTGTGTTTTTTCTTTTGCGTAGCTTCAGTTTGATATATTTAATACCAAAAAGTAAGAATTAGCTAGAGGAAAGAGCCAAGGTGTTCCTGAAAATGTGTGTATTATACATCTATGTACATGTAGACTTTAACTGTACAGTTTATCTGAAAACTCTTAATTTTTTCCCCCCTGTAAGCAGGGAAAAGGCCCTATATTTTAAGAAGGCCAATTATTTTTCTTTTTGAGATGGAGTCACTCTCTCACCCAGGCTGAAGTGCAGTGGCATGATTTTGGCTCACTGCAACTTCCGCCTCCCAGATTCAAGTGATTCTCCTGTCTCAGCCTCCCAAGTAGCTGGGATTACAGGTGTGTGCCACCACGCTCAGCTAACTTTGTGTTTTCACAAACATCTTTCTAGATGGGGTTTTATCATGTTGGCCAGGCTGGTCTCAAATTCCTGGCCTCAAGTGATCCACCTGCCTTGGCCTCCCAAAGTGCTGAGATCACAGGTGTGAGCCACTGTGCCTGGCCTAGAAGGAAAGTTTTAGGATCAGGGAATCCTAATTTCAGATCTCAAAATCTATCTCTACTTTGATGACTCATACAATTTTATTAATCTTTCATTAATGTCTTTTCATATTCTTTTACTAGGAAGAGCAACGGAAAATAGAAGAAGAGAAGGAAAAAAAGAGAGAGAATGACATAGTATTTAAAGCATGGTTGCAAAAGAAAAGAGAGCAGGTCTTAGAAACGAGGAGAATTCAGCGAGCAAAGCAAATTGAAGACATGAACAGTAGAGTAAGTAAAACTTCTCTGAAAAATAAGTTTATACAGATGTGAAAGCTGAACTTATTTACAGAAGTGAGTCTGGATATCAGACTAACAGCCTATGGAAGAAGTAGAAAAGTGGTTCAAGAACTACCCTTGCGAAAGATACAACATACAGATAACGTTACAGTTAGGTTCTAAGAGGACTTGTGAAAATACAATGATTCCTATTTTGTTCAGACTTTGACAGAACAGAAAGTAGAAAACTGTTAATTCAGAAAACTTTTTTCAAGATGTAACTTTGGTATTCAAACAGGATAAAGATACACACACACACACACACACACACACCCCCCAAAAACCCTACAGACTCGTCTCACTTAAGACTAGACATATAGAAATCTTATGTAAATCTTTAGCAAATTAAAGACACCAAATTATTTAATTTAAAAAAATTGAAACAAAATTTAAAAAATAATCCATGTCCTTACAAAAAGGACATGTATGTAAAGTAAAAGTTGAAAATTTGACCCTAAGCTCATTCAGACTCATCTCCAGTGATAACCACTTTTAACAGTGTGGTGCAAGTCCTTTTATATCTTGCTTCTATTTATATATTAAATGTCAAAAGTTTTATTATTCAGTTTTTTCACTTCATCGTGAATATCTTTCTAGGCATTATGTTGAAATCTCTCTTTTCAAATAGCTATGTGGTATTACAGTGTTAATTTATTAAACCATTCTTCATTTGTAGGTATTTAGGTTGGTTCCAATGTTGCGCTAGTTAACAGTGCTGTAGTGGAGATGTACATTCTGTGGGAACATCAGTAATCTGTAGGAGGGGTTCTTCAGAGGGGATTTATAATTGTTGAAGGTTTAGAGTGAAACGTTTGGTTGAAGATACAAAAGTAATCTCCCAAAAGATAATATGAATTTATAGTTCCTCTAACAGTGTGTGACAGTGAATGGCTAACACTGAATGTGGTTTATCATCTTATTTTTTCTTCAAATGAATAATATACATACTTGTATATAAACATGTGTGAGAAATAATTAGATATAGGTCTCTACCCCTATTTTTTGGCACAGAGCTCCTAAAACCTTTTTAATTTCTTGAATGATAGGCATTCTACATGTATCTCTTGTTCTAATAATTGAGCTTCTATCCTTGCTCCTGAAACACAGCTCCTAATCTCTTGGAACTTCTTAGGTGATAGGATTCTATTTTTTCTAGTGAGATGACTCTTGGTGGGCTCCTGGATAGGGGCTGGCTGCCGGAAAGACTAAGCCATGATTAGAAGCTTGGAACTTTCAGTTCTAACTCCTTTCTTCTAGGAAGGGAAAAGGGGCTAGAGATTGAGTGAATAATCTCAATGACTATGTGAGGAAGCCTTCGTAAAAATCCCCGAGCTGCAGGGTTCAGAGAACTTCCAGGGTATGGGAAATGTGTTAGGAGGGTGGCGTGCCCCCAAGAGGGCATGGAACTTCATACCCCTTCCCAAATACTTTGCCTTATATATCTCTTCATCTGTGTCTAGTATATTCTTTATTAATAAACTTGTAAATGTATTTTCCCGAGTTATATGAGTTGCTCTAGCAAATCAACCCTGAGGAGAGGGTCGTGCTCCCACTACTCCCCACCCTGGCAATATATAGCTGGTCACACAAAAGCACTGGTCACAATCTAGGCTTTTGATTGATATCTGAAGTGGAGGCAGTCTTGAGGAATGAGCCCTTAACCCATGGGAATTGATGCTAACTCTAGGGATATATTATCAGAATTGGATTAAATTATAGGATACCCAGCTGGTGTTATAGAACTGGTCAATGTTGGAAGTGGGAACCCTCCCCTACTTTAGTAACTAGAGGTGAAGTATTCTGTGTTGAGTGTGAATGAGAAGGAAAAACAATTGGGTTTTCTATTTATATAGTATGTGTATTCCTCTGTAAATTTCCTGTTTATAATCTTTTTCCCTTTTCAGTTTGGTTTTTCTTATCAAAGTGTATATAAGAGCTTTTGTTATATCTGTTACAGATTTTCCTAGTCTGACAATATATTTTTTGTTACAGTGTTTATTTTGCCATTTGTGGAAGTTTTTAGCTTTTAAAATCTTGGGACGGGCAGTACTTTCACAGGCAAGGCAGAAAAAACATAAACTAAAAGAGACAATATGGAGAAATTTGACTGATACCATAGAGTAAAATAATAATATACTGAGTAAGGTTTACTTTAAGAATGAAATTATGGATCAGTAATAACAGATCTACTAATATCATTCAGCACATCAGTAAATAATAAAAGAATATTATCTTGAAAGATATAGCAAAGGTATAATTTCTTTTTAAAAATTCCTAATAAAATATGAATTGTAAATACTATAATGGGGAAATACTGAAGGCATACCTGTTATAGTCAAAAACATGTAAAGTTCTATATTAAATAACTATTCTGGAGTTTCAATACAATTCATTAAGAAAAGGAAAGAAGTGGCTCACGCCTGTAATCCCAGCACTTTGGGAGACTGAGGCGGGTGGATCACGAGGTCAAGAGATCGAGACCATCCTGGTCAACATGGTGAAACCCCGTCTCTACTAAAAGTACAAAAAATTAGCTGGGCATGGTGGCGCGTGCCTGTAATCCCAGCTACTCCGGAGGCTGAGGCAGGAGAATTGCCTGAACCCAGGAGGCGGAGGTTGCGGTGAGCTGAGATCGCGCCATTGCACCCCAGCCTGGGTAACAAGAGCCAAACTCCATCTCAAAAAAAAAAAAAAAAGAAAAGAAAAGGAAAGAAGGTAAAAATAATAGGAGTGGTGGGGCCAAGATGTCTGACTAGAAGCAGCAGGGCTTGGAGGCTCCTATCAAAAAAAAACATATGTGAATCCTTCACAGGCAACCAAGGTATCCAGGTTTTCTCATCAAAATTGACTAGAAGGCCGGCATGACCCATGGACAGAAGGAAGAGCAGTGTAGTACAGCGGCCCACCTGAGAGCTACACAGGGAAGGAGAACCTTCTCCCCGCAACAAAGGGAGGCAGTGAGTGAACATGCCACCAGCAGGGGAAACTGTTCTTTCTCCATAGAACTGTGCAACCATGGATCAGACGATCCCACTCGAAAATCCAGGCCACGGGGGCCTAGTGTCTCAACACTGGAATACGCAGATTCTTACAGCCTTTCAGATGGGATCTGCTTAAGCCTACTGAACTTCCGGTAGGAAAGGCGACCAGCTGGCAGTGAGAATTTCAAGCCACAGAATGGGAGAAAATTTTTGCAATCCCTCTGACAAAGGGCTAATATCCAGAATCTACAGGGAACTTAAACAAATTTACAAGAAAAAAAACTCCCTCAAAAAGTGGGTTAAGTATATAATCAGACATTTCTCAAAAGAAGACATTTATGCAGACAAAGAACATGAAAAAAAGCTCATCATCACTGGTCATTAGAGAAATGCAAATCAAAAACACAATGAGATACTATCGCACACCAGTTAAAGTGGTGATCATTAAAAGAAACAGCAGATGCTGGAGAGGATGTGGAGAAATAGGAATATTTTTACATGTTGGTAGTAGTGTAAATTAGTTCAACCATTGTGGAAGATAGTGTGGCAATTCCTTAAGGATCTAAAACCAGAAATGCCATTTGACCCAGCAATCCCATTACTGGGTATATAACTAAAGGATTATCTTGCAGCACTATTCACAATAGCAAAGACTTGGAACCAACCCAAATGCCCATCAGTGATAGACTGGATAAAGAAAATGTGGCACATACACATCATGGAATACTGTGCATCCATAAAAAAGGATGAGTTCATGTCCTCTGCAGGGACATGGATGAAGCTGGAAACCATCATTCTCAGCAAACTAACACAGAAACAGTAAACCAAACACCACATGTTCTCACTCATAAGTAGGAGCTGAACAATGAGAACACATGGACACAGGGTGGGGAACATCACACACCAGGGCCTGTTGGGGATTGGGGGCTAGTGGAAGGATAACATTAGGAGAAATACCTAATGTAGATGACAGGCTGATGGATGCAGCAAACCACCAGGACATGTGTATATCTATGTACCAAACCTGCATGTTCTGCACATGTATTCCAGAACTTAAAGTATAATTAAAATAATAATAATAATTAAATACAAGTGAATACTAAATAAAAGGAGTGGACTGTTGGACTGGAAGATTCAAATATATGCCATCTGCACAAGCCACTCTAAATATAAAGCCACAGATACATTGAAAGTAAAATATGAAAAAAGGTATACCATGCAAATGGTTAGCATAAGAACACTGGTATGGCTACATTAACCTCAGACAATACAGACTTCAGGATATTAGGGATGTTTCATAATGGGAAAAGGTCATTCATCAGGAAGACATAAAATCCTAAATGTATACTCATGACACTTTAAAATACATGAAGCAAAAGTCAACACAACCAAAAGAGAAATAGGCAAGGGCACAATGATCGATGAAAGTATTAACACCACTTTCTCAGTAATTCATAGAAAAAATCGGGGAAGAAAATAAGCATGCAGAAGATCTTAACACTATCAACAAACTAGCCCATATTGACATTAATACAACACTACATGCAAATGCAGAATACACAGGTATACATGGATGGTTAACCTAGATAGACTGTATACATAGACACATTTTCATGTGTGTGTTTACATACATATCACTGAGCAAGAGAAGCAAATTTCAAAACAATGTTGGAAAGACATTGTTTAGCTATTTCTTCTAAAAATGGAAATAAAAATTATATCACCTAAGATCTTTTATTCATTTAATGTAAAACAGTCATTCCACAATCTCTAAATGCTAAATATATTTTCTGGAAACTGTGATTCACATTATACACAATATCCCAGAGAAATAACATAATGTACTTATTACAGCAATGTATTAATAAGCCACATTAATTAACTGCCAAATTATGCTATATTTCAGCTTCAGTAGAGGCAAAGTTCATAAAAGTACTTCAGAATACTATTAGTTTGTGATATAATTTCTCATTAAAATCTATTTTTGAGATAGAGTTGAAATGCAGCAAAAAATACTACATATTTACAATAAATATTCAAAGGGAAATATATAACCATGATTTCTTGTAATAAAAATTTTTTAAATTAATTAATTAATCTTTTTATAAAGACAGGGTTTCACCATGTTGGTCAGGCTGGTCTTGAACTCCCAACCTCAAGTGATCCGCCTGCCTTGGCCTCCAAAGTGCTTGGATTATAGGCATGAGCCATGACACCCAGCCTAAAAATTTTAAAATAAATTATATTCAGTATGACTCAGGTTTCCTGAGAATACAATCCAAGATTACAGCATGATAGAACATACTGTACATTTATTTTTGCAAATACACCATTTAAAAAATTAGAATAGCCTGAATGTCATGAGGCCCGAAGACCTGTCATCATCCAAGAATCTATCAGCAGTATGGTCATAGCTGTGTTTTCCAAGGTCACTGACTGAAACATAAACTCCTCTTGTCCCCTCTTAAACCTCTGATCACTACAGCAATATGCTGTGCTTCTCCTTTACCCAATCCCAAATTTCTCCCATCCTTCATAAGCCTTGCTAGTTCTCTTTCCTATTCAATAATATAAAAACTCCCAAATATCCTCCATCCTCCCAAGTCACTGAAAGGGATCTGGCCCTAAATTTCCTCTTATGCAAATTCTGATTCTTCCCCAAGCCACAACTTCTTTGAAACAGAAGCTGCATTTTCTGCAAAACTTCAATTACTTTGGTGGTCAAATAAATTAATATTCTCTTCATTCCCCCATACCTCTTCTGAATTGTATTTCTCTACTTTCCTGAGAAAACTCATGCTCCTTTGCTATTTGTATCACTTGGCTCTATTAAAGCTAGTTATCTAACCACCTCTGGTCACTCCAGGCTAAATGTTCCTCTCCATCCCAAACCCAAGGTATATATTTATAACTCCATAGAAGAGCCATTGCACAACCAGCCCCACAGACCTTTGATTCCCTCATCTTCTGTGTCTTTCTCCAGTACACTTGCCAATTTCTATGGCCATATCCTTGTTGCAAAAACTACTCCATCCCTGAAATCATTAATCTCCTAATTCATATCTCCAGTCTCAATTTTTCTCCTGAACACTAGACAGATTTCTCCAATTAATCTTCAATATCTTCACCTGGATATTTTGTGGGTACCTGAAACTCAACAATTTAAAAATGGAAATGATAATTTCCCCTAAATCAGTATCTTCTCTGCTGCTTCATAGACCAGCACCAACATCCACCATGTTGCTCAACCTAGTCTTTACATCTCATTCTACCTTACACACATTATCTAATCAATTACCAAGTTCCTTCAATTAATACTCCAAAACATATCTCTAATCTTTCTCTCTCTCTACTGCTATAGCTATAGCCCAACTCACCAATGTGATTTTGATTTGCATTTCTCTAATGACCAGTGATGTTGAACATTTTGTCCTATGTTTGTTGGCCGCATAAACATCTTTTGAAAAGTGTCTGTTCATATCCTTTGCCCACTTTTTCATGGGGTTATTTTTTTTTTCTTGTAAATCTGCTTTAGTTCTTTGTAGATTCTGGATATTAGCTCTTTTTCAGATGGATGGATTGCAAAATTTTTTTCCCAGTCTGTTGGTTGCCAGTTCACTTTAATGATTGTTTCTTTTGCTGTGCAGAAACTCTGAAGTTTAATTAGATCCCATTTGTCTATTTTGGCTTTTGTTGCCAATGCTTTTGGTGTTTTAGTCATGAAGTCCTTGCCTTTGCCTATGATCTGAATGGTATAGGTTTTCTTCTTGGGTTTTTATGGTGTTAGGTCTTATGCTTAAATCTTTAATCCATCGGGAGTTAATTTTAGTGTAAGGTGTCAGGAAGTGGACCAATTTTAGCTTCCTCCTTTCCTAGATGAATACCCTTAATTTCTTTTTCTTGCCAGATTGCTCTGGCTAGAACTTCCAATACTATATTGAATAGGAGTGGTGAGAGAGGGCTTCCTTGCCTAGTGCCAGATTTCAAAGGAAATGTTTCCGGTTTTTGCCCATTCAGTATGATATTGGCCATGGGTTTGCCATAAATAGCTTTTATTATTTTGAGATATGTTTCATTGATACCTAGTTTATTGAGGGTTTTTAGCATAAAGGGCTGTTGAATTTTGTCTAAGGCCTTCTCTGCATTTTGAGATAATCATGTCATTTTTGTCTTTGGTTCTGTTTATGTGATGGATTATGTTTATAGATTGGCATATGTTGAACCAGCCTTGCATCCCTGGGATGAAGCTGACTTGATTGTGATGGATAAGCTTTTTCATGTGCTGTTGCATTCAGTTTGCTAGTATTTTATTGAATATTTTTGCATCGATATTCATTATGGATATTGGCCTGAAATTTTCTTTTTTAGTTGTGTCTCTGCCAGGTTTTGGTATCAGGATGATGTTGGTCTTATAAAATGAGTTAGGGAGGATTCCCTCTTTTTGTATTATTTGGAATAGTTTCAGAAGGAATGGTACCAGCTCTGCTTTGTACATCTGGTAGAATTCAGCTGTGAACCCCTCTGAACCTGGACTTTTTTTGGTTGGTAGGCTATTAATTGCTGTCTCGACTTCAGACCTTGTTTTCAGTCTATTCAGGGATTCAACTTCTTTCTGGTTTAGTCTTGGGAGGGTGTAAGTGTCCAGGAATTTATCCATTTCTTCTAGATTTACTGGTTTATGTACATAAAGTTGTTTGTAGTAATCTCTGATGGTAGTTTGGATTTTGGTGGAATCGGTGGAGATATCCCCTTTATCACTAAATGCCCATGTGAGAAATAAGGCAAAATCTAAATGGACACCCTATCATCACAATTAAAAGTGCTAGAGGAGCAATATCAAACAAATTCAAAAGCTAGCAAAAGACAAGAAATACCTAAGATCAGAACAGAACTGAAGGAAATAGAGACACCAAAAACCCTTCAAAAAATCAATATATAAGAGTGAGCAGGCAACCTATAGAATGGAAGAATATTTTTGCAAACTATCCATCTGACATAGGGCTAATATACAGAATCTACAAGGAACTTAAACAAATTTACAAGAAAAATAACATCTAAAAGTGGGCAAAGGATATGAACAGACATTTCTCAATAGAAGACATTTATGCAACCAAAAAACTTGAAAAAATCTCATCACTACTGGTCATAAGAGAAATGCAAAGCAAAATCACAATGAGATACCATCTCACGCCAGTTATAATGCGTTCATTAAAATGTCCAGCTTTGTTCTTTTTGCTTAGGTTTTTTTAAAAGATCAACAAAATAGATAGACCACTAGCCAGACTAATAAAATAGAAAAGAAAGAATGAATAGAGACAATAAAAATGATAAAGGGGATATCTCCATATAGTCTTTAACATTCCTGTTTAGCTCAATGTACTCTTCTACATATTCCTATATTCTTTCTCCTCTAATATTTTCTGTAAGGTTATTGGCAGAATATAAGAAGACTATAAATATTTGTATATGATGTAAAAGGCCACTTTGCTAATGCTTTGCTAATATTTATACTACCTTTCATTTTTTTCCACCTTTATTTCTTCTAAAAAAAAAAACAGGATACATGTATAGAATGTGCAGGTTTGTTACATAGGTATAAGTGTGCCATCATGGTTTGCTACACTTATTGACCCACTCTCTAAGATCCCTCCCCCTCATTCCCACCTCACAACAGGGCCTGGTGTGTGATGTTCCCCTTCCTGTGTCCATGTGTTCTCATTGTTCAACTCCCACTTATGAGTGAGAACACGTGTTATTTGGTTTTCTTTTCCTGTGTTAGTTTGCTGAGAATGATGGTTTCCAGCTTCATCCATGTCCCTGCAAAGGCCATGATCTCACTCCTTTTTATAACTGCATAGAACTCCATGGTGTATATGTGCCACATTTTCTTTATCCAGTCTATCATTGGTGGGCATTTGGCTTGGTTCCATGACTTTGCTATTGTAAATAATGCTACAGTAAACATACATGTGCATGTGTCTTTACAGTAGATGATTTATATTCCCTTGAGTATATACCCAGTAATGGGATTGCTGGGTCAAATGGTATTTCTTCTGGTTTCAGATCCTTGAGGAATTGCCATAATGTCTTCCACAATGGTTGAACTAATTTACATTACCATCAACAGTGTAAAAGTGTTTCTATGTCTCCGCAGTCTCGCCAGCATCTATTGTTTTCTGACATTTTAATGATTGCATTATAACTGGCATGAGATGGTATCTCATTGTGATTTTGCTTTGCATTTCTCTTATGACCAGTAATGATGAGATTTTTTCAAGTTTTTTGGTTGCATAAATGTCTTCTATTGAGAAATGTCTGTTCATATCCTTTGCCCACTTTTAGATGTTATTTTTTCTTGTAAATTTGTTTAAGTTCCTTGTAGATTCTGTATATTAGCCCTTTGTCAGATGGATGGTTTGCAAAAATATTCTTCCATTCTATAGGTTGCCTGCTCACTCTGATGATGGTTTCTTTTTCTGTGCAGAAGCTCTTTAATTAAATACCATTTGTCAATTTTGGCTTTGTTGCCACTGCTTTTGGTGTTTTAGTCATGAAGTCTTTGCCCATGCCTGTGTCCTGAATAGTATTGTCTAGGTTTTCTTCTAGGGTTTTTATGGTTTTAGGTCTTATATTTAAGTCTTTAATCCATCTTGAGTTAATTTTTGTGTAAGGTGTAAGGAAGGGGTCCTTTTTCAGTTTTCTGCATATGGCTAGCCAGTTTTCCCAGCACCATTTATTAAATGGGGAATCCTTTCCCCATTGCTTGTTTTTGTCAGGTTTTTCAAAGATCAGATGGTTGTAGATGTGTGGTATTATTTCTGAGGCCTCTGTTCTGTTCCATTGGTCTATATATCTGTTTTGGTACCTGTACCATGTTGTTTTGGTTACTGTAGGCTTGTAGTATAGTTTTAAGTCAGGTAGCATGATACCTCCAGCTTTGTTCTTTTTGCTTAGGATTGTCTTGGCTATGCAGGCTCTTTTTTGGTTCTATATGAAATTTAAAGTAATTTTTTTTCTAATTCTGTGAAGAAAGTCAGTGGTAGCTTGCTGGGGATAGCATTTAACCTGTAAATTACTTTGGGAAGTATGGTCATTTTCATGATATTGATTCTTCCTATCCTTGAGCATGGGATGTTTTCCCATTTGTTTGTGTCTTCTCTTATTTCCTTGAGCAGTGATTTGTAGTTCTCCTTGAAGAGGTCCTTAACATCCCTTGTAAGTTGTATTCCCAAGTATTTGATTCTCTTTGTAGCAATTGTGAATGGGAGTTTGCTCATGATTTGGCTTTCTGTTTATCTGTTATTGGTGTATAGGAATGCTTGTGATTTTTGCACTTTGATTTTGTATCCTGAGACTTTGCTGAAGTTGCTTATCATCTTAAGGAGATTTGGGGTTGAGGTGATGGGGTTTTCTAAATATACAATCATGTTGTCTGCAAACAGACAATTTGACTTCCTCTTTTCCATTTGAATACTCTTTATTTCTTTCCCTTGCCTGATTGCTTTGGCCAGAACTTCCAATACTATGTTGAATAAGAGTGATGACAGAGGGATTCCTTGTCTTGTGCTGGTTTTCAAAGGGAATGCTTCCAGTTTTTGCCCATTCGGTATAATATTGGCTGTGGGTTTGTCATAAATAGCTCTTATTATTTTGAGATACATTCCATCAACACCTAGTTTATGGAAAGTTTTTAACAAGAAGGGATATTGAATTTTATCCAAAGCATTTTCGGCATCTATTGAGATAATCGTGGTTTTTGTCATTCATTCTGTTTATGTGCTGGATTTCGTTTTTTGATTTGAGTATGTTAAACCAGCCTTGCATCCCTGGGATGAAGCCAACTTTGTCGTGGTGGGTAAGCTTGTAGATGTGCTGCTAGATTTGGTTTGCCAGTATTTTATTGAGGACTTTGACATTGATGTTCATCAGGGATAGTGGCCTGAAATTTTCTTTTTTTGTTGTGTCTCTGCCAGGTTTTGGTATCAGGATGATACTTGCCTCATAAAATGAGTTAGAGAGGAGTCCCTCTTTTTCTATTGTTTAGAATAGTTTCAGAAGGAATGGTACCAGCTCTTTTTTGTACCTCTGGTCGAAGTTGTCTGTGAATCCATCTTGTCCTGGGCTTCTTTTGGTTGATAGGCTGTTAATTACTGCCTCAATTTTAGAACGTGTTATTGATCTATTCAGGGATTCAACTTCTTCCTGTTTTAGTCTTGAGAGGGTGTATGTGTCCAGGAATTTATCCATTTCTTCTAGATTTACTGGTTTCTTTGTATAGAGGTGTTTATAGTATTCTCTGATGATAGTCTGTATTTCTGTGGGATCAGTGGTAATATACTCTTTATCATTTTTTATTGTTTCTATTGATTTTTCTCTCTTTTCTTCTCTGTTAGTCTGATCTGTGGTCTATGTTTTTTTTTAAACACCAGGTCGTGGATTCATTGATTTTTTGAAGGGATTTTCATGTCTCTATCTCCTTCAGTTCTGCTCTGATCTTAGTTATTTCTTATCATATGCAAGCTTTTGAGTTTGTTTGCTCTTGCTTCTCTAGTTCTTTTAATTGTGATATTAGGGTGTTGATTTTAGATCTTTCCTGCTTTATCTTGTGGACTATACATTTCCCTCTAAACACTGCTTTAGGTGTGTCCAAGGCATTCTGGTATGTTGTGTTTTTGTTCCCACTGATTTCAAAGAACTTATTTATTTCTCTCTTCATTTAGTTATTTACCCAGTAATCATTAAGGAGCAAGCTGTTTAGTTTCCATGTAGTTGTGTGGTTTTGGGTGAGTTTCTTAATCCTGAGTTCTAATTTGATTACACTGTGGTCTGAGAGACTGTTATGATTTCTGTCCTTTTGCATTTGCTGAGGAGTGTTTTACTTCCAGTTATGTGGTTAATTTTAAAATAAGTGTGATGTGGTGCTGAGAAGAATGTATATTTAGGGTAGAGAGTTCTGTAGATGTCTATTAGGTCTGCTTGGTCAAGATCTGAGTTCAAGTCCTGGATATCCTTGTTAATTTTTTGTCTTGTTGATCTGTTTAATATTGACAGTGGGGTGTTAACGTTTCCCACTATTATTGTGTGGGAGTCTAAGTCTCTTTGAAGGTCTCTAAGAACTTGTTTTATGTATCTGGGTGCTCCTGTATTGGGTAAATATATATTTAGGATAGTGTGTCATTATGTAATACCCTTCGTTGTCTTTTTTGATCTTTGTTGGTTTAAACTCTGTTTTGTCAGATACCAGGATTGCAACCCCTGCTTTTTTTGTTTTGCTTTCCATTTGCTTGGTAAATGTTTTTCCATTCCTTTTTTTTGGATCCTGTGTGTGTCTTTGCATGTGAGATGGGTCTTCTGAATACAGCACACCGGTTGGTCTTGACTCTTTATCCAATTTGCCAATCTGTGTCTTTTAATTGGGGCATTTGGTCTGTTTACATTTAAGGTTAATATTGTTATATGTGAATTTGATCCTGTCATTATTATTCTAGCTGGTTATTTTGCCCAATAGTTGCAAAAGTGTCTATGGTCTTTACAATTTGGTGTGTTTTATTCAGTGGCTTGAACAGATTTTTCATTTCCATATTTTGTGCTTCCTTTACGAGCTCTTGTAAGGCAGGCCTGGTGGTGACAAAATCCCTTAGCATTTGCTTCTCTGTAAAGGATTTTATTTCTCTCTCCTTCACTTCTGAAGCCTAGTTTGGCTGGATATGAAATTCTGGTTTGAAAATTCTTTTCTTTAAGAATGTTGAATACTGGCCCCCACTCTCTTCTGGCTTGTAGGGTTTCTGTAGAGAGATCCACTGTTAGTCAAATGGGCTTCCCTTTGTGGGTGATCTTATCTTTGTCTCTGGCTGCCTTAACATTTTTTCCTTCATTTCAACCTTGATGACTCTGATGATTATGTGTCTTGGGGTTGCTTTTCTTGAGGAGTATCTTTGTGGTGTTCTCTGTATTTCCTGAATTTATGTGTTGGCCTGTCTTGCTAGGTTGGCAAAGTCCTCCTGGATAATATCCTGAAGAGCATTTTCCAACTTGGTTCCATTCTCTCCGTCACTTTCAGGTACACCAATCAAATGTAGGTTTGGTCTTTTCACATAGTCCCATATTTCTTGAAGGCTTTGTTTGTTCCTTTTCATTCTTTTTTCTCTAATCTTGACTTCATGTATTATTTCATTAAGTTGATCTTCAATCTCTGATACACTTTCTTTTTCTTGATTGATTCAGCTATCGATACTTGTGTATGCTTCACAAAGTTCTTGTGTTTTTCAGCTCAATCTGATCACTTATGTTGTTTTCTAAACTGGTTATTCTAGTTAGCAATTCCTCTAACCTTTTTTCCCCCAAGGTTCTTAGCTTCCTTGCATTGGGTTAGAACATGCTCCTTTAGCTCAGAGGAGTTTGTTATTACCTACCTTCTGAAGCCTACTTCTGTCAGTTCATCAAACTCCTTCTCCATTCAGTTTTGTTCCCTTGCTTCTAAGGAGTTGTGATCCTTTGGAAGAGAAGAGGTGTTCTTGTTTTTGGAATTTTCAGCTTTTCTGCACTGGGTTTTCCTTGTTTTCATGGATTTATCTACCTTTGGTCTTTGATGTTGGTGACCTTCAGGTGGGGTTTTTGTGTGGATGTTCTTTTTGTTGATGTTGATGCTATTCCTTTCTGTTTGTTAGTTTTCTTTCTAACAGTCAGGCCCCTCTGCTGCAGGTCTGCTGGAGTTTGCTGGAGGTCCACTCCAGACACTATTTTTCTGGGTATCACCAGCAGTAGCTAAGGAACTGCAAAGATTGCTGCCTGTTTCTTTCTCTGAGAGCTTTGTTCCAGAGGGGCACCCATCAGATGCCAGTCAGAGCTCTCCTGTATGAGATGTCTGTCAACCTCTTCTGGGAGATGTCTCCCAGTCAGGAGGCATGGGGGTCAGGGACCCACTTGAGGATGCAGTGTGTCCCTTAACAGAGCTCGAATGCTGTGCTAGGAGATATGCTGCTTTCTTCAGAGCTGGCAGATAGGAACATTTAAGTCTGCTGAAGCTGCACCCATAGCTGCCCCTTCCCCTAGGTGCTCTGTCCCAGGGAGATGAGAGTTTTATCTATCAGCCCTGATTGGGGCTGCTGCCTTTCTTTCAGAGATGCCCTACCAAGAGAGGAAGAATCTAGAGAGGCAGTCTGGCTTTGCTGAGCTGTGGTGGGCCCTGCCCAGTTCTAACTCCCTGGCAGCTTTGTTTACATTGTGAGGGAAAAACTGCCCATTCAAGCCTTAGTTATGGCAGATGCCCCTCCCCACACCAAGCTGGAGCTCCCCAGGTTAACTTCAGATGTTGTGCTGGCAGTGAGAATTTCAAGCCAGGGGATCTTAGCTTGCTGGGGTCCATGGGGTTGAGATCTGCTGAGCTAGACCACTTGGCTCCATGGCTTCACCCTCCTTTCTAGGGGAGTAAAGCCTTCTGTCTCAGTGGTGTTCCAGGTACTACTGGGTATGAAAAAATAATCCTGCAGCTAGCTCAGTGTCTGGCCAAATGGCCTCCCAGTTTTGTGCTTGAAACCCAGGGCCCTGGTGGTTTATGCACCTGAGGGAATCTCCTGATCTGCAGGTTGTGAAGACCGCTGGAAAAGCATAGTATCTGGGCCAGAATGCACCATTCTTCATGGTGCAGTCCCTTATGGCTTCCCTTGGCTAGGGGAGAGAGTTCTCTGACCCCTTTCACTTCCTGGGTGAGGCAGTGCGCCACTTTGTTTCGGCTCATACTCTGTGGGCTGCATCCACTTTCTAACCAGTCCCAATGAGATGAGCTGGGCACCTTTGCTGGAAATGCAGAAATCACCTGCCTTCTGCATTGATATTGCTGGGAGCTGCAGACGAGCTTTTTTAATTCGGCCATCTTGCCAGCCTCCCTCTTATTTAATTATAATTATTTATTTGATAGGTTTTAATTGTATCATCTTGATATTTGTTATTTGTTCAATTACTTATCCTTTTCTGCCTTTTTGTAGATTAATCACATGTTTAAAAAATAGTCCTTTATATTTTATTTTCTATATACTTTTTAGCTATGCCTCTGCATGCTTCTTAAAAAGCATTGCTCTGATCATATTATATGTACTGAATGTGTGAAAAATTACCTTTGAATATATATTTTTCCTTTTACTGGCTGTGGAATTTGAGGCTGACAGGTAATTTTCCCCTGCAGCATTTTAAAGATGGTGTTCAATTTTTTCGAATGTCCATTGTTTCTATTCAGAGGTCAGCTAGATCATTCTTGTTATTGTTCTTGTGTATGTAATATGTTCTTTTCCTCTGGTTGCTTTAACATTTTTCTTGCTTTGGCTTTTAGAAGTTTATTACATGTGTGATTTGCTGTGAATATACCTAATGTGGGTTTTGCTGAGCTTCTTGGATCTTTATGTTGATGTTTTGTTTCAGATTTGAGAAATTCTCAGCCACTTTTTTTTCCTGCCTCATCTTCTTTCTCTTCTTCTTCTGAAAGTATAATTTTATGCATGTTAGAACACTTGCTATTATCTCACTTGTTACTAAACTTCTGCTTACAGAATTTTTTCCCTTTGTTCAGTTTACATAACTCCTATTGATCCATCTTTAGGCATCAGTACTTCTGCAGTGTTCATTCAGCTGTTAAGCCCATTCAGGGAATTAGTGTGTGTGGTTTTTTTTTTGTTTTTAAGTTTCCATTTCTTTACTGAGATTCTCTGTTTATTCATTATATCCACATTTTCATTTCTTAAATATTAGACCGGTTTGTATATAAATGTCAATATCCATGTAATCTTAGCATCTGTTACTGTTAAAGGCCTCTTTCTCTTGATTATGGGTCACATTTTCCTGTTTCCTTAGATATCCAGTAATTTTTTTTTAATTGGGTAATAGACTGTGGATCTTTACCCAATAAAAATGTTGCAAGAAAATCTAAAATATGCTGTTTTCCTTTAAAGGGTATTGAAATTTGTTCCAGTAGGCGGTTAAATTAGTATTGAAACCTCTCGATCCTGTTAGACTTGGATTTATGCTTTATCAGGATGGGTTTATTTTGGTTTTGTCCTTATTCCTAGAGCATGGTCTTTATGCTAGGACATGACCCTTACTTGCAAAGCATGGCCCTTTAGGGTTCTACGTGGGTGATCAAGGTAAGCAATGAAGTATTTTTCATTCTGGTTGGATTGGAACTCCAACGTCTCCAAAACTATACAACCTTTGGTATCTTCTTCATTAACAGCAGCTATTCTCTGTTAGATCTTACAGAGCCTCACTCTACACATACACAGCCCCGTCCAGAGCCTCACTCTACACATACACAGCCCCGTCCTTGCGGAGGCCCAGGGGAAACCCCCACACAGACTTATGGAGCATCTCTACACATGATTCATTCATTTCTGGTATCCTGCCCTGGAAATTTAGCTGTCTCAGCAGCACCAGACTCCTCTCTCTGTTTCTTGAGCCCAGTGAGACTACTGCTACTTGATGCTATGTCCTCTCCTTCCTGTGGTCAGGAAAGTGCCACCAAGTACAGAGTTGGGGTGAATATGGGGGTTATATCATGTATTTTTCTTTCTCTCAGTAACCATGCTCCAGTGTACATTTTGTCTAGTTTTATGGCTAATTAGGGCAGAAGGGTTAAATCTGATACCAATTACTCCATCATGAATAGATGCAAAAGTCTCCAATTCAGTCATTTATCCTTTTTTATAATCAGATCATTTAATCCATTAATAATTATTTGTATAATTCATATTTTATCTTTATAATTTTTTCTAATTTCTTATATTGGTTATCCTTATAATTTTTATTTCTAATTTCTTATTTTGGTTCCCTCCACTGTTGAGAGTTATTTGCTATGAACTTATGCAGTGACATCTTTGCATACCACTGCAGTCTATTTTTCATGATAGTTCTGCTTTAATTTACCTTAACTTTTAAAAATAAATTAAAATTTATTTATTATACTAATAAATCTGGAATAATTTAAAATAATTATTTAAAGCATAGCATAAAACTGTACATTCAATTTTTGAGCAAATTATGTTGGTTCTGTCTTCAGTGCATATACAGAGTCCCACTACCCTAATCCAAACCAGTATTCTCTTCTGTTGCCTGAACTGTTAAAAAGCCTGATAACCGAGTCCCCTTCTACCTTGCCTCTCCCTCATGTAGTCTGTTTTCCACATTGTAGCCAGAATGATATTTCTAAAATGGTGAATTTTTGATGTACTTATGCTCAGAAACCCCCAATGGATTCTCATCTCAAAATGAAATGTTCCTACCTTGGCCAACAAGGTTATACATTACCTGATCCCTGCTACTTCCCTGACTTCACCTTCCAGTCTTCAGCGTCTGTCACAACTTCACTTTGACTTCTTTACTGTTTATTGATCATGCCAAACACAATCCCTTCTTAGCTCCTTTGCTCTTATTATTACCACTGCTTTTCTCCATGTATCCCATAACTTCCTCCCTTACTTTCTATGTAAATACCATCCTTTCTCCTCATTGCTGCCTTTATTTCTCTCCTTCCCATACTTTTCTTTTAAATCAGACAATCAGTAAATCAGTCATTCAGTCAGTCACTTATTTTTATCCTCTCTGTGCAAAACACTGTCCAATACAACGTTCTGGGATGATGGAAATTTTCTGTGTTTGTGCTGTCCATTATAGTAGCTGCTATATATACATGTGTGTCTGTTAAGCACTCAAAATGTAGCTAGTATGACTGAGGTACTGAATTTTAAATTTTATTTAAACAGCCCCTATGACTCGTGGCTACTGTATCATACAATATAGAATGTGTGAGAGAGGGAATCTTAATTTTATTTATTAATGCAACCCAGTACTTTAGTGCCTGCTATGTAGTAAACACTGTAACTATCTGTAGAAAGAACGGGATACCCACCTATCCTGCTGATTCCTAAATCCTTGACTCTTTAAAAATGTTTCAACTTTAAAATTGTATTTATTGACAAATAATTTTGCATATTTATGGAGTATAGTGTGATGTTTTGATGCATGTATACATTGTGTAATTTGCATATCTGTCACCTCAAACGCTTGTCATTGCTTTATGATGAGAACATTAAAAAATCCTCTCCTCATTATTTTGAAATACACATTATTGTTAACTATAGTCACCCTGTGGTGTAATACAACACCAGAACTTACTCTTCCTATCTATTGCTTCATATCTGGACTCTGTTGATCTATAATTCCTGATTGAACACTTTTCTGTCATTTCTAGCAATTCCCAGACTTCCAGGTGTTTGGCAATGAGTCTTTAAATCCAAGGGTCCTCTTTACAAAGTTCAGTTGTGCATCAAAGATCCTGGATAACCTTATAGATTATAATAGAGCGTATTTGGCAATGTGGGTTACAAACAAGGGAAAAATGCAAGGTATAGGAAATAGACAAGAGAAATGCAAGATATAAGTTCAATCGCAGAGCTTATATTTGGGGGAAGTATTAAATGAATGTGTCTTTTCCTTTTGTATTCTAGCCAGGAATCCATATGAGGTCACACTTTTCCCAAGGGTAAAGAGTACCAAAGCTGTCCTCTTTCTCTCCTTTATTCTCCAAATAAGAGCTCTTTCAACTTTTGAAAATTCCCCGAAGATAATATCCATGATGAACTTTGAGAGACCACAAAATAAGCTACTCCTACTAGCTTTTTCTTATGTGAAAATTACCATGGTGTTATCTTTGTAAGAAAATTCTTACGACTAAAAATTCTTATGGCTACCCTGTACAATTGTAATTACAGTTTTGAAAAATGGGCTTAGCAGGTAAGTAACTTCTGAAAGATATTCTTAAAACTTAAATGTGTTGTATTTGGTTTGGATACTAGAAATGCAGGTATTGAGGCTGGCATTATTATGAAAAATTGAAGAGTAGGACATGTATTCTTGTACAGTCCAATAGGCAGGGCTTCAAAAGGTAGTTCTGGTTTATCTAAATTAAGTAAAACTTGTTTTTCTAATCAGCCGGAAAACAGAGATCCGCAACAAGCTTTTAAATTATGGCTTAAGAAAAAGCACCAAGAGCAGATTAAAGAAAGAAAGACAGAAGAACTAAGAAAGCAAGAGGAATTCTTATTCTTCCTTAAAAGAACAGAAGGCCGTGAAAGGGCCTTTAAACAGTAAGTTAAAGGCAGGGCATTTCCCTCCACCCACCTTCCTCGTGGTCATTTTAAAAGAGTTATATCATCAATCAAGATTGAAAGAAAAGACCTCAAAATGTTTTATCTTACAGCACCTACCTATTCAATTTTAAATTCATGCTTTTGAAAATGTATAAATCTTTAACTTCTTTACATATATAATATACATATGTGAAGTTATATATATATGCACACCAATTTTTCTTCAAGATACTTTTCAGTACTTAAGTTATTTCTTATGGCACCAGTGTGATAACCTTTGATGCATCATTTATTGTGTACTTGTTTATTTTTGTGAGAAAGGGGCTGAGGATTGATTACAGCTTCTCCTACATAGCTCTCAGAAAAACTGAATTTACCAATAAGTGCACTGTATTTACCAATAAATGCAACCAATAAAAGTTGCATTTACCAGTAAAAGAAAGGCAGGTGGACTGAGGAGGAAAATCTGTATAGATCAAAGAAAAAGGAGACTTGGGTACATATTTTGATAATTTAAGGCAAACCTGATGTTTTTCCAGTTATTTGGGTAAGATACTGCTTTGCCTAATTCTGAGAATGTGGATGTGGCTTCATATTTTTGCTGGCAAGTGTGGGGAGAGTTTGGGGTCAAAGTGAATATTGAGTCCAGTTGTTTGAAATTCATTTCCTTCTTTCATCTCTTTTGCTCTTTCTTTCTTTTCTTTTTCCTTTTTCTTTCTTTCTTTTTTTCCTGTCACCCAGACTGGAGTGCAGTGGCACGATCTCAGCTCACTACAACCTCACCCTCCTGGGTTCAAGTGATATCCCACCTCAGCCTTCTGAGTAGCTGGGACCATGGGTTTGTGCCACCACACCTGGCTAATTTTTCTATTTTTCGGTAGAGATGGGGTTTTAACCATGTTGCTCAGCCTGGTCTCAAACTCCTGACCTCAAGTGATCCACCTATCTTGGCCTCACAAAGTGCTGGGATTACAGATGTGAGCTACCATGCCCAGCCTCCCTTTTTTTTTTTTTTTCCTAACATACTTTTTTATTATGACAGAAGCAGTAAATGTACATTGTAGAAATGGAGAAGTACATTTTCATCACCCAGAAATTATGACTATTAGCACCAGTGTGCATATTGTCTAAGTATTTCTCCGTACATATATTTACAATTGCAAAATATTGAGATCATGCTGGATATGTTATTCTGCAATCTGCTTTTTATTTATTTATTTATTTTTATTTATTTATTTATTTTGAGACGGAGTTTCGCGCTTGTTACCCAGGCTGGAGTGCAATGGCGCTATCTCGGCTCACCGCAACCTCCGCCTCCTGGGTTCAGGCAATTCTCCTGCCTCAGCCTCCTGAGTAGCTGGGATTACAGGCACGCGCCACCATGCCCAGCTAATTTTTTTGTATTTTTAGTAGAGACAGGGTTTCACCATGTTGACCAGGATGGTATTGATCTCTTGAGCTTGTGATCCACCCGCCTTGGCTTCCCAAAGTGCTGGATTATAGGCTTGAGCCACTGCGCCCGGCTGCAATCTGCTTTTTATTAACGATCTTACCTAATATCCAGCCCATATTCATTTATTCCCCAACTGGCCCATAAATGATTTCAGTTTATTTACTTAAACTAGTATCCAATTCAGGACCATATATCATCAGATTATGGTATTTAGTAAGTCTCTTTTATTCTAATACAGTTATTTAGGTCTTTAGATTTCTCAAAAAACCCATATGTATGTGTGTGCATATATATATATATATATATATATATATATATATACATGTATACATACATATACACAAACATACAAATACATACTTACATACCAGCTATATGTGTGTATGCAGTTATTTTTTGCTGTTATTTAAACAAGACTTGAATTTGTCAGAATGTGGACTTTTCCTTTCCTACTTTTGGAGTTTTCATGTTTGGCTTATTTTTCACTTTAAGAAAGTATTATTTTGTGGACTTAAAAGCTCTGCAGTTTACCTGTAAGAAGATGAAAGCAGCATTTCTGCATGATAGCATTCTTAACCTAGATAAGTAATGTTTTAGAATACAGCTAGTTACAAAGAATAAGTTATTTGGAATGTACCAAACAGTAAGAAATCTATTTATAAAAAAATAATAGGACCAAAGCACATGTAAAACAGTGTTATTATTAAAAAGCCAGTTAAGTTGGCAGTTTCATCATAAGACAATTTCCAACATTTCGTGTTGTGACAGTATTTCATTGTAAAGAAATGTGCATCTATTTTGTCTATAGCAGTAACTTTATAGCATGAAGAGTGTATTCAGGTTGATATGTACCAAATCTGATTATGCCTCTTTCTACAGATGGCTAAGAAGGAAACGGATTGAGAAAACAGCAGAGCAGGAAGCTGTCAGAGAGAGAACTAGACAGCTCCAACTAGAAGCCAAGCGTGCTAAACAGTTGCAGCAACACCTATATATGTCAGAAGCCAAACCTTTTCGTTTTACTGATCATTATAACTGAAAGTTTCTATTAAACATTTCAGTGGGAAGCTGCTACCAAAATTTTGGATATATTTTCTTATGGTCTGTGTACTTTGGTTATAATCTAAATTATGCAAACGGGTTTATCTTTCATTGACAGTAAATTTGTTTTTTTAATACTAGAACAAAATAAATTTTTTTCTCACAGTGTTGTAATGTGTTGTGCCATCTCTTAGTCTGTGCAACAAATTGAACAAGTGAATTCTGTGTTCTACTTCTAAATTATTTTATTAACGTTTCTAGCTGCAAACACAAGAAAGGTACAGATTTCTATTCACACTTCCTATTATTGCTAAAAAGTTACAACAGAACATTTCATAAGGCTGAAGGAGTCACTCCTTAAACAAGCCTGGTTTAAGGCCTTAAAGTCCAATTTAGTTCAACTTTAGATTTGAATAATCATGGCAAGCTAAGCAATACAGTAGGCCTAATTCCATGTGTTAGTGCCTTAAAAAAATACACCCTATATGCAAGAGCTAAACATTGGGTACTCATGGACATAAAGATGTCCCCAGTAGATATTGGGGACCCCTATGGGTGAGGGAAGAGAGCAAAGGTTGAAAAACTAACCATTGGGTACTATGCTCTCTACCTGGGTGATGGGATCAATCATACCCAGACCCTCAGCAACATGCAACAAACCCACATACGTACGTATGTATCTTTGAATCTGAAATAAAACTTGAAATGATAAAATGGCGATTATATGTAATACTATTTTAGGTATGTTACAAAAGTAGCCAACTTTAATTGAGAGCTTAAAACATATTAAAATGTATTATAAATGCTTTATATAAATAATGTAATCCTATGACAACCCTATTAGTGTCACTCTGCGAAGGAGGAAAGTAAAGTGTATAGACACGAACAGTTTGTTCACATAGACTTTGATCTGTATGGTTGCAAAATCCTTTCTCTTAGTTATATTATGTGAGATATTTAAGAATATACAAGAATCCAGGGTGTAGAGGAATAGTACTTCTGATACGTGTAAGAGCCTGTAAGGGGTGGAGGACAAAGGTAAGCATACAAGTGTGATGGAGAATGGACAGTCACTGTAAGTATTCTGGCAAAGCTTTAAAAGACAAAGTTCTGGCTGGGGATGGTGGCTCATGCCTATAATCCCAGCATTTCAGGAGGTCGAGGCAGGAGGATTACTTGAGGCCAGGAGTCTGAGACCAGCCTGGCCAACATGGTGAAACCCTATCTTTACTAAAAATACAAAAATTAGCTGGGCATGGTGGCACGTGCCTGTAGTCCCAGCTACTCAGGAGGCTGAGGCATGAGAATCACTTGAACCCCAGAAGTGGAGGTTGCAGTAGGCCAAGGTTGAACCACTGCACTCCAGCCTGGGTGACAGAGTGAGACCCTGTTTCAAAAAAGAAAAAAGAAGTTCTTATCAACTGGTTATTTGTATCTTAATCACTTGACCCTAATTTAGAAAGTAGAGAGAGAGCTATTCAGTCTTCTCTACTTGTTACAGCACTTTGAACTATACCAGGCACTTTAACATTTCATTATAATTGGTCTTGTGTTGTTTATAGTTATCCTTAAGGATAAGAGCCAATTTGACATTAAATATATAGACCAGAACACTTAATATAGTACTGAGCATTACTTACAACTGAATGATTTCAGAAAGGATGCAAGGCTACAGAACTGAGGAACAGTAAGAAATCCAGTCAGGCAAAATTTGGGAGCTGGATGAGGCAGGCCGTTAGAATGGACAATGAAGTAGTGTTTCTAAATGATAGAAATATTAACGTACATTTGACAGGATGTAACTATTACAGTATAGTAGGATAGCTGTAAGAAATGACAAATAGAAATCTCAATTTAGTGGACCAAACTTTTGTCCTTAGATTTTTTTTTTTTTTTTACTATTGAGGTGAAATGGACATAATTGAAAAATAACCATTTTAAAGTGTATAAATGACATTTATTCATGATGTTGTGTAATCACCACCTCTACCTAAACATTTTCACTGCCTGAAAAGAAAGCCCCATACCTGTAGGCAGTCACTCCCTATTTCTCTCATGCCCAGCCCTTGGCAAATACTATGTGGGTTTTTTTTTTTATCTCTATGGATTTCTTATTCTGTATATTTCATATACATGAAATCATGCAATTGTGATTTTTTTGGATCTTTTTTTCACTTAGCACAATGTTTTGGAGGTTCATCTATGTATCAGTACTTCATTCCTTTTTATGGAATAAAGTAATATATATATGTACCACATTATGTTTATCTATTCATCAGGTGATAGACATACTGTTTCCAACTTTTAGCTATAGTGAGTAGTGCAGCTATGAACATTAA